CTTTAGTTACTTACTGTAAATAAAACATTACAAACAATTCTTCTAGTTTGTTCGACTTGAATGTCCCAGCTGCAGTTGTCGGGGGCAGAGCCGTGGGATTTGCTTCCTCACTTGGTTGTGTCCCCCCAGCTCCCACAGGGAATATCGCATCTCTAGGAGGAGAGTTTGGGGTTTACTGGGATGTGTCACTTTCCAGCCAGCCTGTCTCTGTCCTGTACACACCCATGTCAATCTGGAATTGCTCAGCTGTGCTCTGCAGAGAGGGGACTGGTTACACAGGGGGCAATCCATGAAGGGACTTGGTGTTGCAGTTTGTAGGCAACCAGAAAATCACATTCTGCAAAGCTCTGTCAGGTGCCTAAACTCCCTAGACAATTCATGGGCATCAAAGGCACCTTGGGCTTGGTCTACACTATGAGTTTAGGTCAAATTTAGCAGCGTTAGATCGATTTTACCCTGCACCCGTTCACACGACGCAGCCATTTCTGTCAACTTAAAGGGCTCTTAAAATCGATTTCGGTACTGCTGCCCGACGAGGGGATTAGCGCTGAAATCGACCTTGCTGGGTTGAATTTGGTGTAGTGTGGAAGCAATTCAACAGTATTGGCCTCTGGGAGCTATCCCAGAGTGCTCCATTGTGTCCGCTCTGGACAGCACTCTCAACTCCGATGCGATGGCCAGGTAGACAGGAAAAGCCCGGCAAACTTTTGAATTTCATTTCCTGTTTGCCCAGCGTGGAGAGCTGATCAGCACAGGTGACCATGGAGTCCCAGAATCGCAAAAGACCTCCAGCATGGACTGAATGGGACGTACTGGATCTGATTGCTGTATGGGGAGATGAATCCATGCTATCTGAACTCCATTCCGAAAGATGAAATGCTGGAATATTTGAAAAAATCTCAAAGGGCATGAAGGACAGAGGCCATAACAGGGCCCCGCAGCAGTGCCGCGTGAAACTTAAGGAGCTGAGGCAAGCCTACCAAAAAACCAGAGAGGCAAATGCCACTCCGGGGCAGAGACCCAGACATGCCGCTTCTATTATGTCATTCTAGGGGGTGCCCCTACAACTACCCCACCCCTGTGCTTTGACTCCGTCAATGGACTCTCATGCAACAGGGATGCGGATTTAGGGAATGAGGAGGAGGATATTGAAGTTAGCGCACAGCAAGAAAGCGGAGAAACATTTTCCCCGACAGCAGGAACTGTTTATCACCCTGGAGCCAGTACCCTCCCAACCCACCCAAGGTGGGCTCACGGACATTGAAGGCAGCGAAGCCACCTCTGGTGAGTGTACCTTTGTAAATATTGTAGATGGTTTAAAAGCAAGCATGTTTAATGGTTAATTTGCCCTGAAGACTTGGGATGCATTCGCGGCCAGTACAGCTACTGGAAAAGTCTGTTAACGTGTATGGGGATGGAGCGGAAATCCTCCAGGGACATCTCAGTGAAGCTCTCCTGGATGTACTCCCAAAGCCTTTGCAAAAGGTTTCTGGGGAGGGCAGCCTTATTCCGTCCTCCATTACCACACCAGGCCAGTAGCACGTAGCCTGGAATCATTGCATAACAAAGCATGGCAGCGTACGGTCCCGGTGTTTGCTGGCATTCAAGCAACATCCGTTCTTTATCTCTCTGTGTTATCCTCAGGAGAGTGATATCATTCATGGTCAGCTGGTTGAAATAGGGGAATTTTATTAAGGGGACATTCAGAAGTGGCCATTCCTGCTGGGCTGTTTGCCTGTGGCTGAACAGAAATCATCCCCAATGTTAGCCACGCGGTGGGGAGACGGGTGAAGCGATCATCCCAGAGAATAGAGTAGTGTGGCGGGCTTTAGTTGGGTTTGTGCTGCACATTAACCCGAAAACCGCAGCCCCTCCTTTTAAATGGCCAACCCATTTAAAATGGCGAACCCAATGGGTGCTTGGTATGGGACATGAGGTCGCTGCTGCTTGAAACCATTCCCACATGTTACGAAGGTTAAAGAAGCCAAAAGACTGTGGCTTACCATGGCTGCCTGCAAGCCGAATTCTGTTGCCCACCGGCCCTGCATGTGTGATCTCTCACACCAAACCAGCAGGCCCTCAATATAAGAGTCAAAATGCAACCTTGTATAGAAAGTGCACGTGCTATGTAATGTTAACGGCTTGGTTCACAGTGGAAGAGTGTACCTATTGTTCTCTAAAATGTGTCTTTTTAAATACTACTCTCCCCTTTTTTCCCCCTCCTGAAGCTGCAAATGTTTCAACACTCCCCCTATCATCTCCATCCCAGAGACTAGCAAAGATTAGAAGGCGAAAAAAATGCACTCGCGATGACATGTTCTTTGAGCTCATGCAGTCTTCCCACACTGAAAGAGCCCAGCAGAATGCATGAGGCAGACAATGTCAGAGTACAGGAAAGCACAAAATGAATGTGAGGACAGGAGGGATGCACGAGAGGACAGGAGGGATGAGCGAGAGACAGGAGGGACCAGCGAGAGGAGATGTGGCGTCACTGTGATGAAAGGAGGCATGAGGCAATGCTCAGGCTACTTGAGGATCAAACTCATATTCTCCGGCGTATTGTTGTGCAGGAAAGGCAGCAGGAGGAACACAGACTGCTGCTGCAGCCCCTGTGTGACCAACCGCCCTCCTCCCCAAGTTCCATAGCCTCCTCACCCAGATGCCCAAGAACGTGGTGGGGGAGCCTCTGGCCACCCAACCACTCCACCCCAGAGGACTGCCCAAGCGACAGAAAGCTGGCATTCAATAAGTTTTGAAGTGCAGTGTGGCCTTGTCCTTCCCTCCTCCCTCTTCTCCACCACCCCACCCGGTGCTTCCCTCCTCCCCTACTCCTTCCGGGCTACCTTTGCAGTTATCCCTCCATTTGTGTGACAAAGTAATAAAGAATGCATGAATTTTGAACAACAATGATTTTATTGCCTTTGCAAGTGGTGATCAAAGGGGGGGGGAGGGCGGTTTATTTACAGGGAAGTGGCGTGAACCAAGGGGGCAGATTTTTATCAAAAAAAACAAACAGAACTTTCACACCGTAGCCCCTGACCAGTCATGAAACTCGTTTTCAAAACTTCTCTGATGTGCACGGTGCACTGTTGTGCTCTTCTAACTGCCCTGGTTTCTGGCTGCGCGTAATCAGCAACCAGGTGATTTGCCTCAGCCTCCCACCCTGCCATAAACATCTTCTCCCTTACTCTCACAGATATTGTGGAGCACACAGCAAGAGGCAATAACAATGGGAATATTGGTTTCGCTGAGGTCTAACCAAGTTAGTAAACTGCGCCAGTGCGCTTTTAAACATCCAAAGGGACATTCTACCACCATTCTGCACTTGCTCAGCCTATAGTTGAACAGCTCCTGACTACTGTCCAGGCTGCCTGTTTATGGCTTCATGAGCCATGGCATTAAGGGGTAGGCTGGGTCCTCAAGGATAACTATAGGCATTTCAACACCCCCAATGGTTAGTTTCTGGTCTGGAAAGTAAGTCCCTTGCTGCAGCCATTGACACAGACCAGAGGTCCTAAAGATGCAAGCGTCATGTACCTTTCCCAGCCATCCCTCCTTGATATTGGTGAAATGTCCCTTGTGATCCACCAGTGCTTGCAGCGTCATTGAAAAGTACCCCTTTCAGTTTATGTACTCGCTGCTTTGGTGCTCCGGTCCCAAGTTAGGGATATGCATTCCATCTATCACCCCACCACAGTTAAGGAATCCCATTGCAG